AAAAAACTAGAAGGGTTATATGCGTACCACTCCACTTAGCTCATCTACCCTTTAAATACTTAAAACTCATAAGCTATCATTCTAAATTCAATTTTAATGGATTGAAATAATTTAAAAAATATTCTATTTTGGAATATGAAATTAAAACTATATGTTGTAATTCAAAAAGTAAAAACTTAAAAAATTGAAGGATAAAATATATTTTATCATTAAAATGTTTTTATAAGGAAAATAAGTACTGTTTTTTTTTTCGAAAAATAGCATGTATATAGAAATAATTAGTATTCAATGATTACAGAATCATCCGGTATATAAATAAAGTTATACTAATATATTCATCAATATAATCCATAAGACTAAGCAGAAAAAAYTTGTTAATTATTATAAATTGTACTTGATTATAAAAAATGTATAGAACAATAATTATGTACCAATGTTACAATATTATGATTAATAAATTACTGTTAAATATTTTTGTATACTTATAAATCAGATATTATTAAACTTCATATTACAATACAAGGTAAATAAAATTTTTACCCAATTTGTGGTTGTACCAGATGATTATTACTATTGTCTTTTTTATCAATAAATTCCTGTTTAATAACTGTATTAAATACTTGATCATCACATCTTATAAMTGGAATCGTTAACACTCTAGAACTGTTTAATATATAATCATACCTAGAAGAAATTGCAAAAAAAATGATTATTTATAATTAGATACCACCAAGGTAACTACTGTTTAAATTACATGCAATGTATAAAATGCATAAAACATGAAACAAATTGTTAATTTAAGAAAAAGTACAATTTTTTCAGAATGTAGGATAAAATTACATATTTTTTGTAATGTTACACAGATATTGTATTTACTTACTTAGAATTTATTGTTGTTTCCATATTGTTTTTGATGTCCTCCATAATATTTTTCGATTACTGTGGACATAAACCATATAAATAATAATGTATATAATATGTGCCAAGTAATTACTTGTAATAGACTGCGTATAATAAGTTTACAGATAAAATGGATAATTAGACCAAACTTAAGTATAACTGTATAAATAAGTTTTTTATACCTAGAATCTAGATACACATAGTCAACAAAGTTTTCAATTTTCATTGCCATATTTCATTTATACAGGGGCTAACAGATGAAAAGACTTACATTTATTAGAACTTGAAGTTATATGGTACTTAAAACTTACCGTTTTCAGTTTTTACACTACAAATAATTAAGGCAGTTAGTTAATTTAAAACTGATATAATTAATAGTGTATAAGTATTAGCCATTAGGTAATTAATTAACTGATTCACATTTAGTAATAGTCATTTTAAATTACTAAATGCTAATAATAGTAATAACTATGATGGACAGTTAGGCAGTTAGGCTACAATTAATAAAATACATAAAAATATTCACATTCTTTCATACCTTTCGGTTACATTCTGTTTAAAATGTTTAAATATTTAATTTATCATTATCATGCTGTAAAATAGTGGTTGACTGATATGATGATAA